ACTAGGCAGAGCAAGCTTGACGCCAAGGCTAGGGTCAGCCATGACCCCTCCTTCTGCCTTAAGCCGCACGACGCACACAAAGACTCGACGACCTATCCACCGTCACGGCCCCAGGGAGGAACGGGGAGAGGACAAGCCCAGCCAAAATTGCCCACTCTAGCAAAAGTAAGCATGCTACTCTAACTCTACAAGGACCGAGGGGGCAGTGGTGACCTCGGTCCGGTCAGACGCCATCCCTGTGCCATGCTATGCAGACAAGAGAACATCGCACGGCGGTGACAACTAGTACGGCGACCCACCATCCAAATACAGTTCAACAGGACGCATGTATGATTCTACCCACTACGAGATAGGATCCATGACGAAGGCCTTGACTTGGAGGCCATCCAACCCGGCGGGAGCCATGACCCCAACGATCGGATTGTGGCCCTTAGCTCCTCAAACCAACAAGGCGATCGATGACCCGGGGGCGGCTACCAACTCTTGTACGATGCCCCAGGAAACCAGGAGGTGGTGACAAAGACCACAGTAAGGACCACGTGGCACAGGACGGCTGGCGAATCACCACCGTGCCTACAGTGCCGCCATGGCTGGCACAGTAGCACCACATCACACCATGCCGCGACGTGGCAACAAGACCATGACGACTAAGGCTGGGCAAAAATAACCGAGAACCGAGAACCGAACCGAAAGAACCGGAATCGAAACCAAAAGAACCGGAACCAAAATTTCGGTTACCTGTTCGGTTCTCAGTTCTTAGGAACCAAATTAACTGATCAAATTTCGGTTCCTGGGCTCGGTTAACCAAAATAACCGAAGGAACCAAAATTCACAAACAAGCCCAATAAACCCTATAACCTAGGCCTAATACCAACTTAACCCTAGATATAAAAGGTGGATGACACCCCCTCACAGCCTCACACCCTCACATTTTTTAAAATCTCGGCATTGTGCTTTTTTTAAAAATCTTTTTCCTATTTTTTCTATTCTTTTTTTTGCTTGTGTAAATCCTCGGTTAGTTCGGTCGGAACCGGAACCGAACAGAACTAACCGAAACCGATTTTTCTCGGTTCCAAGATTTGCGAAGAACCGATCGGTTCCTATTTGTAGAGAACCGAATTTGTGTCATAAACCGAAGAACCGAACCAAAACCGATCGGTTAACCGAACGCCCAGGTCGAATGACAACAACCACGCCCAGACGTGCAATACAAGATGGCGTAGCTTGCAAGCCAAGTTAGCTAGGACCTCCCTTAGGCTCACAACCCTTCGGTCGGTAGAACCTTCTTCTTTGTATACGCTCTGGCCTCGGACTCTATATAAGGGCAGCCAAAGCACCCTTCTGGGGGGATCCAACTCTCATTTCACTCATTCTTACACCGTAGAAGGGCTCCTGAAGCTTCCCTTCGGGCAGCCCATCTCCTAGCTCTAGATCTCCTACCTTTACCACCATTCTTGCACCCCCGTTGTAAGAACTTCAGAGCATTCAAGCGAGGAACACGCACTCGATCATCTCTGAGACTAGACGTAGGGCTCCGGCCTGAACCAGTATAAATCCTTGTATCTTTTGGATGCTACCATCGTCTTCCTAGGGCAGCGCGATAATCGTATAAATTTACTAGTCCGATTTATAAAACACCGACACCTTCCAAAAATACAAGTGGAACAACATTATTGGAAAACAAAATATTACTATATGATGTTGTTACCTTCACTTTACGAATATGTTGCGTCAGGCTAATCATTTAGTGACCATCAACAAGCTCTCCCAACCTTGTCCTTTGCTTGTCCCGAGCAAAGACTAAGACTTAGGATCCATGGATGAGGAGTTGCATCAATATTAACTCCTGATGAGTACCTATGTACAATTTAACACTATATCTTTCGAATTGAATAAATTGGCATTTTTAATACTCAACCATTTTACCATAGCCCTCATGGGGCTTATAGTTGTCACCTTGTCTTGGGCAGTTCAAAAATAGAACAGCTAGACAGATGGCTTGTTCTTCCATCATTTGTTTGGTATGATTCTCGAAGAGATTTTATGAATTTTGCAAATAAAGTTTAAGTTCCTCGTATGGTACTCTAAAGTCACTCAAGTAGTGTAAGAATCCTTACCAAGGCTTTTCAGCATAGCCTCACATCCTATTTCTAAAGCTTATGTGGAGTTCATGGGTAAAGGATGATTAAGAGGCATACTTGCATTGCATATATTGTAAATTCAAATAATATATTGGATCCATGGAGTGTCATACAATCTATCAATCAAGATGTGCAAGTGTGTAGATCTTGCATTGTAAACTTGATTCCTTTTGAAGAGAGATCCCTCTCCACTTTTATATTTTTAAGATCATGGCTATCTTTATTTTTCTCTTCTTTTTTTTCTTTTCTTTTTTCTCATTCTTTCTCATTTTTATTTTGTTTTTTTTTCATCACGTATTTTTGCATAGCCCATGTCTGTTTTGAACTTTTATGGTGAGAGATCACCGAATATATAGTCTTTATTTGATTGGGAGATGGATACACATGTTTTTGCTTACTCTCTATATAAGAGTATAGCATATTGGGTGGAGTATACGTGATCACCATTGTGAAAGCGTGAAATTTCCCTCACTAGGGCACAAGGCTTGACAAAACTCAATACAATAACAAGTAGCATATGTGTAAAGTTTTTGCATCATTGTAACAACATTTGGCTTTGGTAGGTATTTCTCACCATTGAGGAACTTATCAAAATTTTTGTTCTTATGAAAACAAATTCCCCACAGACATAGCTTGATTTTGAACAAAATAAAAGCTCACTCCAGTCTTTGCTATATCATAACACCCCCCCCAACCTCCAACATTTGCATGCCACAAAGTTTTAGCTTCAAGGCAAGATCATTTTTCACCAACAAACTCAACTAAGGAGAGTACTAGATTGTAAATTATTAGACACTTGCAAAAAATCAATAGAGCAAGCATTCATCATCTCCAGAGTGAAAGATTATATCAACCTCATACCTAAAGTTGGGAGTTTTATTCTCCTTTTTTAAGATGCAATGAAATAAAGGAAACGAACTAATTGCCTATTGCCAGATTCAATTCTGGTAATGACCTATAATACCGGGTTTAGACTCGACAATGATGTATTGATTGGAGATAGTGTTTACTCGTACTATATTATATAATATAACAGATGGGCACTTTCCAGTGCCCTGTTTGTTTTTTTTAAAAGGTGGCATAAGACAATGATCCAATACTTTTGGGTTGTCGTCTATCGTTGTCGCCCTACGGGTTGCTGCATGTGATCTAGCATTTGGATTCATAGAAAAGAAACGGGTTCTTTCAAGTCAAAAAACAAAAGGAACCAGACTGTTGTAGAATCAATATATCGGGATAGCTGATACATATGGACAATGAGAATTTTACCTAGGCTGTTGTAGAACTCTACTTTTTAGAGAGCTCTTTCTATTTTACTAATGGCTAAATTTTATGGTATATAATCTAATTTTACATAATCTCTTGTCCGGAGTTGCTCTTATACGTATACGTATATTGTAACAATAGTAATCAAAGGTGTGCTTCACAGCTTTATAGGATATAACAATATTCAGAAGGATATTTACGACTGAATGGAGTACTTAAAGATGAAACGTGCGTGAGACATTGTTATGCAGTAGCCGAAACAAAGAAAAACTATCATAAAAAAGAGAGAGGCAGAAACATAAACCTAAGCCTACAGCCTGTTCGGCAGCTCGTATCTGGCTTATAAGCCTTGGCTTATCAGCCAACGAATAGTATTTTTCTCTCACACCAAACCAGTCAGTAGTACTTTCAGTCATGGCTTATAAATCAATTCAGCAAAAACAAACAGGCTGCTGGAAGAGAAAAGTGAAGAAACACGAAGAAGAAAGAACTCCAAGAAATGCGAGAGCGCCGACGCCGGGGAGCCGTGGAGGGTTCGGCCGTTCAAAAGGCTCTGCGGCCTGCGATTCTAGTCTAGAAGAAGGCCACGCCACGCTATACCTACTGTAGACGGGAAAGTGGAGACAGGACCGTCCCCGGCTCCCGGTCCCCGCCCACGCCCAAGCAGAGGCGGACTACTGTAGCACTTTATTATTAAATCATAAATTAATTGGATTTTAAAAATTTATCAAGTAAAGTAGTTGTAATATGTGTAATTAGTTATTATTTTAGTATATATTTAATCCTCTGTATACGTGTCTAATCGATTGCAAAATGATTCGGTCCGGCTGCGCCGGCGCCGGCGCGCGCTCGAGAGTCGAGCCGGCCACTCCCGCGCCCGCCTCGCCCGTGTCCGCATGCGCGCGGCGGCCGTGCCACTGCCACCGCACGGAAGGCGACGCCAGGTCTCGCAAGCCTGCCTGTCCGGCCCGGCATCTACGAGGAGGCCCTGCCCCTGCTGCCTGCTGGAGACTTTTTCACGGCCTCGAGATCCGAAGCATGCATGCAGCTCCGCCTCCGGCCTCCGGGACGGACATTGTCATTACTCCCACCACAGCTCACGGGGCCGCTGCAGCACCAGCGCGGCACAGCGCAAGCTGCCGCCTGGCCTCTGCGTCGCCATCGATCGGCCCGATCAATCATCAATGCGTTCTTGGTTTTGCTTGTGCGTAAAAGCTGGAGTTACCACCCTCACCAACCAGTAGTCCGCCTATTGTAGGGAACTGTGCTGTGCTAGCGGAGCAGTAGGAGATTCCTCGCTATCTGGTCGCACTCGCACAGCGCCCACGTGTGCGCGCACGAAACCAAAGTCCCTGCGGCTGCCTCGCCCTCGCGTCCGCGTCGTCGCAGGCTCGCAGCACCGTTTGGTTGGGCCTGGGCCGCAACACCCAGGCTAGGCCTGGTCTCCTACTGGGCCACGGCACTCCGCGGGGCCTAGGAGCAAAACTGCAAAGAGGAACCGGTCGGATTTTTATTGGCGGACGAACGGACGAGAGCGGGTGCGCGGCTGAACCAGTGCCGCCGCTTCCACCCCGCGACCCACCTCCACCACCGATGGCTCTGCTTCCCGCCGCAGGGGCGGCGGCGCTGGCGACGCCCTTCGCCGCCCAGCCGTGCGGCCTCCGGCGGGCGTATGCTCCTCCTGCCGCGGCCCTGCGGCTCGGTCCGCTCTTCTGGCCGTGGGAAAAGGTCCAGCAACTCTCCCTCTCTCTTTCAGTACTGTAGTACAGTTCACGCAGGCGCAGTAATCCTGGGCCGCGTTTAGGCCCTGTTTAGTTCAATCAAAATCCAAACTTTGACACTATGCAAAAAGAAGATTTCCGTGACATCAAATTTGCGGTACATACATAGAGTACTAAATATTAACGAAATCAAAAACTAATTGCACAGTTTGTTTGCACTTTACGAGACGAACGTTTTGAGCCTAATTAATCAATGTTTGGATAATTATTACCAAATAAAAACGAAAAACTACAGTAGCTACAGTACCTCCATGAAATCCGGCGGCGCCGAATTGGGGACCAACTAAATGTGGCCTTAGTTCGGCCCCAGATTCGGCGCCGCCGGAATCTTATGTACCGTAGCGGCACTGTTGTGCACTGTAGCATTTTATTTTTATTTACTAATGCTTATCACATCGTTGACTAATTAGACTTAAAACGTTCGTCTCGCAAAATACAACCAAACTGTGCAATTAGTTTTTGATTTCGTCAACATTTAGTACTTCATATATGTACCGCAAGTTTGATGTGACGGAGAATCGTTTTTTGTATAGTGCCAAATTCTGAAATTTAGGGACCCTGATTGCATGCGGTACTCGCGTAGATACACGCCATTACTACTGTGCTGGAGCCCGGTGGGTGTTACTGATACTGTAGCGCTGACAGCTGAGAATTCAATACGCGTTACTACTACTAGTACTAGTGCAGTGCAGCGTCTAGGACCTGCATGCTTTGCAGTTTTTTTATGCAGTGCGCGTTACTCCTAGGACTGTGCATCGCTCAACGCGTGTGTCGGTGTGAGTGTGAGTGTGTGTGTGTGTGACATGACGTGAGGTGAGGTGAATGCGCAGTGCCATTACAGACCAGGCAAACGAATGAGGACACCCACACAAACTTGATGTTCTGTCTCAACGTGCGCGGCTTTACTGAACCTTGATTTCCTGCCTCCCTAAGCACAAACCACAGCGAGGATCCGACGACCACAGGGGCGCCACTACCCATGGAGCTTGATTAGATTAGCAATAGTACCTTTTAGCGTCTAGCCATGGATCGACCGGCGGATGTACTATTTTAATTCTAACCTGCAGTAGATTATGGCTAGCATTACTGCTGCGTGTATTGTCTTACACTCTTACTGATGCTGGCGTTCTGGGCACGGAAACCTAAATGTTCCACGTTGGGTGATTGCGGTTGGAAAGAACCTAATCTAGATGAGACGGCGAAACTTCACCATTACAAACTTAGGGAGTGTTTGGATTCAGCTACTAAAATTTAGGAGATATATCGGGTCGGTGCTCCACGAGACGAATTTTTTAAACCTAATTAATCCGTCATTAGCACATGTTTACTGTAGCAAAATATTGTCGAATCATGGACTAATTAGGCTCAAAAGATTCGTCTCGCAAATTAGTCACAAACTATGTAATTAGTTTCGTAATTAATCTATATTTAATACTCCATACATGTGTCCAAACATCCGATGCGATAGCGACTAAAATTTAGGAGGGGCAACCAAACACCCCCTTATCATGTCACGGCCTGTTTGCTCTTTCAACAGTTATTAGATCATGAGAAAGTCATCCACTACACACCACCAGTTATTGGAAGTCTTTTTTTTTTTTGAAATGAGATTACCTCTGCTTTTTGAAATGAGTATAAGAGTTTGGAAGTCAGTTGTTTTAGACAAGGCCTTCCTATTTTACGTTATCCGAAACCAATTCTTCTATAAGGGTGTCCCAATAATTTCCAAATAGCTAGTATAGGAATAATTTTGTTGACTATGAGGGAGAGAGATCAAATAGCTAACGACTCACAAATAACTAGTTTAGCACGATCTCGTAGAAACAACTCTCTCATAGCTCGAATAACTCTCCACTACAATGTTCTTATTTTATTATTTCTATAGCTAGCTATTTAAAAGTTATCATTGATGACACCCTAACGAGTTTAGCAATGCAAAGCACAGAAAAGTAGATAGTAGAAACATCCACCCTCCCTCCCCACCATTACTGAAAATCTGCTCTCCACTACGCAAAGCGCAGAAGATGCTGACACAACCTAGTTCGCTTTTATGCATAATTTGTAACTGAACGGACATGATTTAGTTGATGCACCATACAACATATGCTGGCAAATCATGAAATCAGACACTGGATATTGAACTGAGTAAACCAAACTTTCAAGTTTTGTATTTGTACTAGGTGTTGACCCTTGCGTTGCCACGGACACAAAATTTGTATGAAATTTGTCTGATACCTACGTGCTAACTGGTTACATGATTATTATTTGATAGATTTCTAGGACCATCTAGACGTAGATCAGTGGTAAAAACTTAACTTAGATAAGGGACTTGCTGATATACCTCGTCGAGTGCACTGGCGGCCATGGCGCCGCCGCGACGTGGCCACTGATGTTGGAGTAGAAGTAGCATCGTAGTGGGGCGCGGTCCAGTAGCGACACCGATAGAGCTTCCCATCGCTCACAGCACTTCCCTCTTAATCGGACTAGGGTTAGACTCGGTGGGTAACTGGCGGCAGCAGTGAACCTCATATCTTGTACCCCAGCCCCCACCGTCCTTTTATGGCACTACGGACGACGGGGCCATCAGCCCAGAGAACCTGCAGAGCGCCCCCTATTAGGGCGCAGATCATCCTAATATTCTCCCCCTTGATCTCATCTTATGACTTAAACTCAACTTATTTTATCTTTTTTCCATTCCATCACAGATCAGTGCATAAAGCATGCCTCATCGTCACGGTCAGTTGCCACTAGATTAAACAGCTACAATGCACCTCTATGTTTTGAAAAACAGATTCTCAACTAGGCCCTTAGTATCCATAAATCATAAGCGTTCCCGTAAACCCATATCGACTGTGTGTTCTCTGAATGCACCAGGTGGTTAGTCTTTGGTAAGCGGATCCGCAAGTAGTTGCTTAGTACTTATATGCTCAGTGCTTTTAAAATGATTCTAGATTTTCTCCTTTACAACATATAACTCAATGTCAATGTGTTTGGCAGCACAGTTGACCTGTTATCTTAGGAGTTAACTACTTTAAATGGTTATTACTGTTGACTACCATTGTTAAATCCGAGTACTAATTTTCTTAACTTCCTTTTGCCTATTCCTTAAGCCTCATGTCAAGCTATACTATGGTATGCATTACTGATGACACCACAACTGTTTCTTTGGATCTTTTCCACGATAATACTCCAACTACGAGTGTTACCAACTACTGTGGATTTCACTACATATCTCGCCAAGACTTAACATTTGTATCATTAACTATTTGAGAGTACTTGTTCTTTCTTACTCAATATGAGGCCTATGATACTTTGTAAAATTGTAAGACATTCTCAACTCCATTCTAGTGATCTATATCTGGACTGGACTTCTGCCAAAATATTCCGGATACGTAAACTACGTCAAGGTAAGTTCTTACTTGTACATTCATTAAGCTTCCAACAGCTGAAGCATATGGAACCATGTTCATTTGATCGATTTCATATCGGTTTCTGAAACACTGAAAGTTCTCAAATCTATTACCCTTGACTATAGGAGTAGGCGTAGGTTTACTCGTATGCATACTTTATTTTTTTAGAATCTTTTCTAAGTATGCCTTTGCGATAGTCCTAATACCCCATTTTCTTCTATCTCGGTGAATTTCGATTCCTAGAACCAATGACGCTTCACCAAGATCATTCACATTGAAACTTGACGACAAAACTTCTTCTCCAATGACAGATTAACATCATTACTAGTGAGTAGACTGTCATCTATTCATAGGATGTGGAAAATGAATTTTCTATTCTTGAACTTCGCATAAACGCTATTGTCCTTCTTATTTTCTTTAAACCTAAACTTTCTTATCGTTTCATCAACTTCATAATACTACTGTCTAGAGACTTGTTTTAACCCATAAATGGATTTCTACATACGGCATCCCATACGTTCTTTTCTTCCACGACAAAACCTTTGGGATGTGCCATGTAAACATTTTCTTACAAATCCCCGTTTAGGAATGCCGTCTTTACATCCATCTGATGTAACTCTAAATCGTAATGTGTCAATAACACCATTATGATTCTAAAAAAATCCTTGCATGAGACTAGAGAGAAAACTCTCATTGTAATATATTCATTCTCTTTGTGTAAAGCATTTTGCTACAAGTCGTGCTTTATATCTTTTTACATTTCCTTTCGAGTCACATTTTGTCTTGTAGACCCATTTACAGTCTACTGTTTTGGCTCTATTAGAAATTTCTTCTAAGTCCCAAACATCGTTGGTATTCATCGAATTCATTTCAACTTCCATAGTTTCTAGCCATTTAGACAAATAAACGTTTCTCATGACTTCTTCAAATGAGATAGGATCACCTTCCATTTGAATTTCTTCACTAACATAGACTTCATAGTCATCAGAAAAACTAGTTTACTAATTCTTTGAGACCTTCTGGGGCCTCAGCTACTGGTACTTTCATATGGGGCTGTTGTTGCTCTTCATTGCCAAGAGACAATTGATTCTACAGGCTATTGTATTACAAGATCCTTGTTTATATTATTTATCTTCTTCGAAGAGCTAACAACAGGTGTTGCATTAGTCATACAACATCAACAGGTATTGAGAAACTTGTTGCTCCTGAGTCACTGGAGGGCATGTAGTCCCTCTTCTCTTCCAGTCTTAGGTCTCTACATACCTCTACATACCATGCTCCCCCAGATCTTCCCATCTTTTTCTAAAGATAGTGTATCTTCAAATATCTTATTTTGGGTTTAATCTATTAAAACCTCATATGACGCTTTAAGCACCACCTTAACATCTTTGAGGCTAACTACGCTATCTTCCTGTCAGAATTTTAAAAGGTCCAGGAATTTAGCTATTTCTCTGCTTAGGGGTATCATTGTTGTGACCGTTGTACTCCTCCAATGGCCGCATTCATCTTAATTAATCTTTATCTCACTCTTAATGAAAAGTATCTTTCTTAATTGATCTTTATCTCACTCTTAATAAAGAGTATTTTTCTTAATTGATCTTAATATTCTCCCCCTCGAAATATGATATGAACTTTACTGCCATAATTTCAAGAACTATTCAGAAAACATGTGAACGAGAAGACACTTGTAACTTACTTCATTCACATGATTATGTCATGTAAACAAAGTTATTTCTTGATCCGTTTAGGAGTACACTTTCTTTATTTCACTTCAAGAACTTAACGAGGTCTTTCATTAGCAGTACTTTTGCAAGTTAAGCCTGCATCTTTTCTTATCTTTTGGTTAGTATTGACCATAACGATGCATTTCTATTGTGCCACAGTCAATACTAGAACAGCATAAGAGCTACCCAAACTTCTCTCGCCATGCAGGATACAAAATATGTGAATCATCACAAAACTTTTCTCGCCATGCAGGATTGACTAGCATAAGTACTATACCAAAACTTCTCCCCATACGGGATAAAACTATACATAAACACGCATGCTTAATCCAACGTTGGTTAAATTAGACATGCATGTTACTTATTGCAACTCTTAACATAAAACATTCACTTATACTTCATTTTATAATTAAATCTTTCCGTTGGTTCCAATTTAATCAGAAAATTCGTAAACTAACAACCAAAAAACAGTCATGAACTGGCTTGACTTAAGCCTTTTCATTCACATAGCCTAGCATAGCAGCCAGTTGCATGCAGCCGAGTGATCTCGTCGGTTAAAAATAAAACAAACAAGATGCTTCTGCATCAATTCTACATCATCGTTGGGCAGACAATAGAATTAATACATAAAACTCATAAATTAACTTGAAAGACAAAATAACTACTCTTCAAAATTAAATTCTCTCGTTGGTTCGAATTTAATTAGAAGATAATCAACATCATTGCAGCGAAAACTTGATAATAAAATACATTCTATTAGTTCATGAGCATTTCTTGGTCCTTATCTACTCTCTAAAAAATTGACCACGTTGGTGTAAAATTTATTAGAGATTTAAACCTCAAAGTTAAACTCATTATAATATTGTCATCATCAACGTTGGTCAGAAAATGACAATACCATAATCTGACTTAAACAAAATTGAACTACTCCTCCAATTGAAATTAGAGGATAAGCATAATCATAATTTACTGAACCAAAATCAACTGCTCTTCAAATTAAATTCTCCCGTTGGTTCGAATTTAATTAGAAGATAATAAACATTAAACTTTGCAGCGGAAACATGAAAAATTGTTTATCTACTTTTCAAAAGCATTTTACTATACTCATCTACTCTCTGAAAAAATTATCCCGTTGGTTCAAATTTTGACAGAGATTTAAACTAGACAGAAAATATCGAAATTTGCTTCTGAAAAAAATAAAACAAAATTTCACTATTGTTCTGCTGCCCCTCGGAAAATCATTATGATTATCCGGCCAGCCAGCCTTGCATACTTATATGCTTTCTCTGCGCGCCCAAAAGAAAAAAGGCCTCTGGCGGCCACTCACGTCGCGCTCCCCCGTGCCCAGACCACAACCTGGGCCTGGGCCGAGATTTCCCTCGCTCGCCTGGGCTATATATGGTCCAGCGCACGCCAACCGTCCATGACGATCCGACGACCGGACGTTGTTTGCGCAAGATCAAAACACCCCGCCACGCGGCGCGCTTAACCCTAATTTCATTTCCTCCTCAACGTTCTCTCTCTACACCGCATTCGGAAGAGAAAGACCAGCGGAGCGGCGCTGTCTCCGTCGCCGGTCCCCTCACCGGCGCGCGCTCGCCCTAAGGCTGAGTGCGCCGTCGTCGAGCGGTCTGGGCGACGGTGCCCTAGTCCCCCACATGCGCTACGGTGGGGCTCGCCCTAAACCCTAGCTCTTTCCATTCCCCTTTCTCGTTTGTCAGCCCTCAGTGTAGCAGACGCCGGAGAAGAAGTGCGGCGCCGCCGCGGGTCCCCTCGCCGGAGCACGCGCTCCCCAGTGGGTGGCGCCATTGCCGAAAGGCCAGTCTGTGATGGTGCCCTCGGCCGGGCTTCATGGCGCCTGACGGCAAGCCTGCCTTCTCTCCCAGCGTCTTGCGAGGCGGCGGCGGGTGCTTCTTCCAGCAGCAGCGATGGCAACAATGGCGAGAAAAACCGGTGGTAGGTCCTCCCCTCACTCTATCCTTTCCCCTTCTAGGGTTAGGGTTAGGTTAGACTGTTTCTCCTCGCTCCCGCGGCGGCTCGGGTGACTTCCCGTGAGGCATCGAGGCGACGGCCGACAGTGGTGACAGTGCGGGCGGTTCCCAGGTAGGAAAATCCCCTTCCTTTCCTTTCTCTTCTTGTGATCTAGGGTTAGGGTTTGTGAAAACTTGGAAATCTTTCATCTCCTTCTAATTTCTTTTCACTTTTCTACCCCAGACTCGATCTACACACTAGGAGAACTTCGCTCCGATACCAATGATAGATTTATAGGACCATCTAGGCGTAGATCAGTGGGTAAAAACTTAACTTAGATAAGTGGACTTTCTGATATACCTCGTCGAGTGCAGTGGCGGCCATGGCGCCGCCGCGACGTAGCCACTGATGTCGGAGTAGAAGTAGCATCATTGTGGGGCGCGGTCCAGTAGCGACACCGATGGAGCTTCCCGTCGCTCACAGCACTTCCCTCTTGATCGGACTAGGGTTAGACTTTGTAAGGAACTGGCGGCAAGAGTGAACCTTATATCTTGTGCCCCAGCCCCCACCGTCCTTTTATGGTGCTGCGCGACGGGGGCCCATCAGTCAGGAGAACTGGCTGAGCGCTCTCGATCAGGGCGCGGATTAAGGGCCCAATTGATCGTTGGGCCAACTGGTGGAGATCATCCTAACATTATTTACACAAATAGTGATAATCAAATTTATGATGGAGTTTTTGTTTCTAGGTAACTCAACATTGAGTGTTAAACTCATAAAATACTAATCCAGCTTCTTTTGAATGCATTCAAGGAGACAATTAAGTTACAAACTAACAGACTCTAGAACATGCTAATTGCTGAATCTACCATTTCCTGCTGTCACACCGTGCCGCTGTAGCTTCTTACGCGGTCATGCCACCACCGCACTGGCCCAAGGCCATACCAGGGAGCTGTTGTTGTTCATGGCCTGACTGCCTGAGTGTGTAGCCAAACTAAACAATCGCCGTTGCTATGCCCCTTGACAGAGTGGATGGATTTGATAGAAGATAAAAACTCCGTAGAAAAATCCTTCTATAGGAGATCCAAAATGCCGTACCAACAACAAACTGCATCTGTCGAGGGGCACTGCCTCAAACGATTTTTTAGTTATACTTCAGTACCCCCACACACATGCAGGTTCCCTCAGACCTCATATTTTTCAAGACAATGTACACTATCATCTGTAACTTTTCTTTGATAATATATATCCGCTTGACAAATCAAGAAATTAGACATTGGACACAATAGTCAATTGTATGTATGATTTTTTCACAGTTCATATTTCAGTTACAGTAATTTTGATAAAATGTACGCGATCAAGAATGTCATCCTGCTTGAATGGAACATGAATGAAAACAATACAAATTGTCAGGCCCAAAATAGCCGTGCACTAAAATCAGAGTATTGAAGCATAGCTACCTTCCATTATACAGAAACCGACAATTCAGCTTACCCAGAAACCGGCTTGTTCGGCTTGTTTTTTCAGCCGGAACAGTGTTTTTCTCTCACAACAATTCAGCCAGAACAGTGTTTTTCAGTCAGTTTCAGCAAGCCGAACAGGGCCCCAGGCAACTGGGTGACGTTTGGTTCAACCAGTAGCAGACCCACATAACACATTAGGAAAAATTATGGATAACCGTTAAAAAAGTCTGTTACCCAAGAACCATTTGGTTACCAAAAAGAAATTATTACCACTCGAATTGAGGGCGGGTTGCTAAGGACAGGCACTGCTAAGTGCTAATAGACATCAGATCGAACAAAAAAAGGTTCAGAGAAATGGAACATCCCAGCTCTCAACACTAAGCATGGAATTTAATGGGAGCAACATACATGTTATAGACTTATAGTCATAAATCATAAGCTCCCACATCAAAAAGCACTGTTTCTATGGAGAACCATTGCATATTGTTAACCACTTCGGAGAATTGCTCCAGAACTTTGAATTTCTAGGTTTCTCGAACATGACAAAAGCAATATGATTCAGAGCTACTACCTTTTGTATAATTATAACCGACAGCATTCATCAAACAAATCTAAATTTTATTTTATTTTTCAAAACCCTTACAGAAGTGCATGGTAAATTTAGACTTGGATTTAAGAACTCATGCTACCCAAAAAATCTGCATAGTAGCAGAAATACCAAGGCATCTAAAAATGCCATTTCTGGGTTAGTTCATCATGGACCGATCCATTGCTTATTCCCAGTACAGGTTAGACCTGATATTGCTATTGCTATTGCTAAAAAAATGTCCCGGTGGGTGTTCGTAAGACCTGACACAACCTGGTTGGCTTTTATGCATAATTTGTAACTGAACAGACATGATTCAGTTGACGGCACCATACAATATATACTGGCAAATGATGAAATCAGGGAGAGGATATTGACCTGATCAAACCAAACTTCCGAGTTGTGTATTTGTATATTGTTTCTTATGGTCAAGTGAAGCTTTCGGAATTGACCTCTTATAGTTTCATACTTCTATAAAGCTCGAATTACCTCTGTTAAGCCAAAAAAAAAAAGGAAACCCTGTATCTTTTATGACCTTACAATTCTGTCTGAAGTCTAAACCACGACATACTACAGTATCTGCATCTGCATAGCTGAAAAGTGTTAGCAGATAATTCAACGGGTTGTCGGTTCCTATTTCTTCACCTGAATCTCCTGATAGTACATTATCGTTCACAAATATAGGTGAAAATTGGTCCCCTTTCTGTTTCCCCCATGGGTTTTGGAACATGGGCATGGGGAAACCAGCTACTTTGGGGCTATCAAGAAAGCATGGACAACGAACTTCAGGACTGCTTCAATCTGGCTCTAAGGAATGGCATAAACCTTTTTGACACTGCTGACTCGTATGGAACTGGAAGGCTGAATGGACAAAGCGAACGGCTACTCGGTAAATTCATCCTTGAGTTTGAAGGTAAGATTAACAAAATGGTTCCAGGAATCCAAGAAGTAATGTTCTTTTGTCAGTTTTTCAGTTACAGTACTGCTTCAATTTTGTTCATTCGTACTATCCCAGGGACGATTAAATCTCCAGATGATGTGATCATTGCAACTAAGTTTGCTGCATATCCTTGGCGACTTACATCGGGGCAGTTTGTCAGCGCCTGCAAGTATTCTTCCGATTTGTTTGTTTCATGTACACCGACCAAATTTCACTCTGTTCAGTACAGACTTTCTTCAAAATATCTGGACTTACAGACTAGCACGAATGCTTTGCGAATTATTAAGCAAAAACTGAGCATAACCTAGTTTGAGCGTTTATGTGACTCATGGAGTGCTTATTTTCAGGTCTTCTTTGGAAAGATTGCAACTTGATCGGCTCGGAATAGGGCAGCTGCATTGGTCTACTGCTAACTATGCACCCTTGCAGGAGCGCGCCCTCTGGGATGGACTAGTTGAAATGTATGAAAAGGTCACTGAACTTTGAAACATCCACATCAGATTATCAAGCCATGACATTGTTGAAATTACTGAGCTTCACTCTATGCAGTCAGTTAGGCACACATTCTGACTGCATGTTGTGCTTGTTAGGGTCTCGTAAGTGCTGTCGGCGTCAGCAACTACGGGCCAAAGCAGCTTCTGAAGATCCACAGTTATCTAGCTTCTAAAGGAGTTCCCTTGAGCTCAGCTCAGGTACCTGCAGGAAACTGTTAGCTCTGTATGTTTATATAACTCCCAATTCAGTATTGCATCATCTGAATTCTGAAAGCACTTAGTCATACAGGTTCAGTTCTCACTACTGAGCATGGGTGAGGATCAGATGGAACTGAAAACTGTGTGTGATTCATTGGGCATTCGTCTCATCTCATATAGTCCGCTTGGATTAGGAATGCTCACTGGGAAGTATGATGCTTCTAACCTCCCAAAAGGACCAAGGTGATCAGATTGGGATTGAGAGCTTCTTCTTCTTTTTCTTAACTCTTGTTTCGATAGTTGATGAGACATGAGTGCACGTTTTCAGGGTCTGTTTATCTGTACTCTGCTCTGCAGGTCAGTGCTGTTCCGACAAATTCTTCCTGGGCTGGAGTCTTTGCTGTCTTGCCTGAGAAGGACTGCCGAAAAGAAGGGGAAAACCATGTCTCAGGTAAGCGCTTACCGAGTGCAGAACGGCTTGCTGAACGATTCTATGATCGTACCAGCATGTCACAACTACACGACACTCGATCATCAAAGTGTTCCTCATAATCCGAAGATGACGCCATTCTACCAACGCAGGTGGCCATCAACTGGTGCATCTGCAAAGGCACAATTCCTATCCCAGGAGTTAAAACTGTCAGGCATGTCGAGGAGAACCTGGGCGCACTCGGCTGGAGGCTGAGTTCTGCTGAGATCGCAGAGCTTGAGTCCGCGGCGATGGCAGCTCCGAAGAAGATGGTCCAGAATGTCTTCCAGACTGCCTGATCATGTGCAGGAATCTGAGTCTCAATACCAAACACAGGATGATTTTGAACCTGAATCTCAGTACCAAATATGACCAGACAATGGTGTCAGATGAGAGCAGAGGGGCGGTTTCTTTGCTGAGTTCAGATTTCAACTGGCAGCAAACCCTGCTCACTGATCTAAATAGTTTTCCAGTATGCAGATATGAAGAAGCTGCGTCTGCGTGTATGCATGTTTCTGCAACAATCATTCTGAAAAGTCTGAAACAGGACAGCCGTGATTCATAGAGATTAAGAAGGAAACCGTTAAAGACGCATCCCATTTATTGAGGTTCACTCCCGAAGTTCCCCAGAGATCAAGCCGCTTGCACTGGCATATCCATCTGAACCAGAGGGATCAGACGGTGGTGTTTAACCTTACTTCAATGGTACTACTAGTATATACACGAACACGACACAAGTCCATATCACCATGCATGCACACTCGGAAGTCGGAAGCGCAGGCGTCAGTGCTTGCGGTGGTTGTTGCTGGCGGCGTCGGTGCCGTCGCGGTCGGCGGCGCCCTTGAGGTTGAGGTGGTGCGTCAGCGGCGTCGGCGGCTGCATGAGCGCGAGCGCGCGCTCGAACTGCGCCCAGCGCTGCTCCAGCGTGCCGTTGTATCCCACGGACATGCGGACGAGGCCCGGGGAGATGCCCACGCGCGCGCGGTCCTCGGGCGGCATCTCGCTGCTGGTGCTGCTCCCGGAGCAGGACATGAGCGTCTCATAGTAGCCCAGGCTGACGGCCATGAGGCCGAACTGGGTGGTGTTCTGGAGGTGGTGCATCAGGCGGTTGGCGCGCTCCTCGGTGCCCATGTCGAGGCACAGCATCCCGCCGGAGCCGTACCCAGGGTTGCCCACGCCGGCCAGGCGCGCGTGGTGCGGGTGGTCGGGGAGGCCCGGGTACAGCACGCGCAGGCCCAGCCGCTGCATCCGCGTGGCGAACGCCAGCGCGCGGCGCGAGTGCTCCTGGATCCGCAGCGGCAGGTGCGGGAGGCGCTCCGACAGCTCGAACGCCACCTTGGCGTTCATCGTGGGGCCCAGCAGCATCAGCGCCCCGTCCTGCAGGTCCATCATCGCGTTCACCAGGCTCGCCGGCCCGCAGATCGCGCCTGCAAAGAGCGTACGTACACCATTTATTTAGCACATCAAGGTCAAGGTCAGATGATCGAATGAATGAACACACGCTACCATCAGATTCAAATTCAGGTTGTGTTTAGTTGGCGAAATTTTTTAGCACATCAAGATCATTTGGTCAATTATGAATGAATTTAATTGAACACAAAAGATTTGTCCAATTTCGTCTAAACCGTGTGTAATTTTTTATTTTTATTTATATTTAATGTTTAATACGCTGCGTGGCAGATTTGTTTTTCTAAACTGGCAGGTTTGTTTCGTTGCGCTTTGCCCTGACGGCTTTGGCCGGACTCGGTCTCGCGCACCTCAAGACCCCACGCACGCGGCAAGCGTGATGGAGGCCTGGCCAGGCGACAAGCAGGCACGGTCAGGGTTTGGCGGGATGCCGTTTGTACGTACGTGGAAGGGTCAGAGTCAGGACAAAAGCCACGCACGTACTCCGGCTGTGGGTCGCACACCGATGCATTATTGAAGGAGCGGGGTGCAACGCAACGAAGAAAAGTTGCAAGGACAAAATGATTTGACACGAGGCGTCTGCGATCGGCAGAGGATATATGGATCGGCCATGCGGAGGCCCCGCCGCCCCTGGCCTAGCTTGGCCAGACCTGACGTGCAACACATGGAGCGTGCGTCCCAGGCACAGACGGAGGGGTAGCAAGCGGAGCTTAAGCTAAAGATGGGGTGGGTCACCACGTCACGTTCCGGCGGCAGGAGACTCTAGCTAGCTGACTACTTATAGTAGGTGAGCCCAGCTGCGCCTGCGTGACTCAGTGCCTTGTCGCTTGGGGCCTCGACTCCTTTCGTCGTCGTCGCCGTCGCCACATGGGGGGTGAGAGCCATGGTCGAGTGTAACGTTACTGTTGTCATGATCAATTACAAGGGAGTGCCTGGAGTTCTCCAAAAAAGAAAGACAAGGGAGTGGCTGTGAGTGAGTGTGTGTCACTGGCCGCTCTCATGCACGTCAACATTTTGTTTTGGTAGTTCAGTTAAAAGTAGAGGGTGAATACTGCAGCAGAATTTGTCTAGTAGAGAGTGCAGATCAACCTAGTGATCTGAAACCAGCAAAACCCTGACTTAGGAATTTTCGACTATGACTAAATGGGTTTTAGCCAAATACTATGACTAAATAGGTTTTAGCCAACTAATCACTAAATTATTGCTAGAAGGGACTAAACCTCACATTTTAGTCACATTGAAGCCAAACACCCTGACTAAAAGGGACCAAAAAGCCTCTTTTAGTATCTTTTATTCATCCAAACCAAACACCCAGTGACTAAAGTTTAATCCCTAGTTTAGATGACTAAAGTTTAGGAGGACGAAACCAAACAGGACATAAACAACTTAAAAAGCGCACATGCTTCCTCCGTTACCAAATTGATCCACGACTGCTGGGGATATGTTTGCTTCAACTTATCGGTCATGTTACAGTGTTTTTTCTCACAACAAATCCAGCGAACAGTACTTTTTAACCTAGCTTTTCAGCAAGCATGTGTCATGTCGTAATCACTTATGTACGGTCTGCCGATTTCTGCTATTACCCCGGCACTAAGTTTATTATGTTATAATCTGCTAGACCGGTAATTTCTTTTGACAATTTTCCCATGTAGAATATCCCCCAGAGCCCCCGCCCAGAGATTCCATGTGACCAAGGACGGCTACGGCTAGCTTTGGAGGTCCCAGCTTCACTGGAACACACTCACGTAACCGTACAGGACAAATACGACGGTCGACTGGTACGTATCTACTACTCGTAATCTCGTATATGCAACAACGCTTAAGATAGAGTTATTAATAATTTTCTAAGTGCAATTTGCAAGTGCTGTAATAATTAATTAACCATGCATGCATCCCGCTAATGCAGCGCCAGCGCGTCGTAGAACGTCCATTTCGCAGCTAGGTAGGAGTAAATTCCAACCACAGACTGTCAGTGAGGCGTTTCTAATTTTGTCGTCGCATGCACACGCCGATGACGACGCGGAGAGGATCGGAGGGAGGCTAGGACGTGTCCTTACCGGCGATGATGTCGGCGCCACCGCTGATGAACTTGGAGACGCTGTGGACGACGACGTCGGCGCCGAGGCGCGCGGGCGAGACCACCACGGGGGTGAAGGTGTTGTCCACCACAAGCTTGGCGCCGGCCTCGTGCGCCACCCGCGCCAGCATGGGGATGTCGGCCACGGCCAGCGTCGGGTTGGACATGGTCTCCACGTACACCACCCGCGTCTCCCCCGGGACCACCGCGGCGCGCACGGCGGACTCGTCGTCGGCGTCCACGAAGGTGGCGCGCACCCCGGAGGTGCGCGGCAGGAACCGGGCCAGCAGCGCGTGGGTGCCGCCGTACAGGCACTGCGACGCCACCACGTGGCCGCCGGCGCCCACCAGCTGCATCAGCACGGCGGAGATGGCGGACATCCCGGACGCCGTGCAGTAGGCGGCCTCGGTCCCCTCCAGCGCCGCCATCTGCCGGCCCAGCGCCAGCACCGTCGGGTTGAAGTGCCGGCTGTAGATGTACATGTCGCCGCGGTCGGGGCCCAGCTCGCCCGCGAAGAGCCGCCGCATGGTGTCGGGCTCCATCACCGTGAACGTCGCCGACGCCTCGATGGACATGTTCACGCCGCCGTGCTCGCCGAACTCGTGCCGCGCCGAGGCCAGCGCCGCCGCCGGGTCCGCCTCCCGGCGGCGCGCCTTGGGCTTCTCGTCGGCGACGGTTCCGTTGCTGCCGTCGCCGAACCCGTCGTTGCCACCGAACGGGCGCTTCAGGGTGACCAGCTCGGAGGCGGCGGCCATAGTCTGGGCCATTGGGATGGGAGCGTGTCGTGCGTGCGTTGCAGAGGAGCAGGAGATCGGGCTCGGGAATGGAATGGGTTCAGAGCGGTGCGGGGAACGGAACACAAGGTGGTGAGCAATTTATAGGCGATGCCAGGATCTTGTGTGGCTGAGGGTACTCTCGGTGCCGTGGAACGGAACACAAGGTGGAGCAACGGACGGTGGATGGAGTGGGGTATGAATCGGGCCCATTCCACGGTCAGGTGAGGAGGCTATAGTATGTAACGTCGGGATGCTATCTTCATGCCAAGTGTACCGTCTTAACGTTGTAATAGGCTGCAATTGATTTAGTTTTAAAAGCTTTAGATGCAGTGGTAAAATATATAGGCTGGAATTGATTTAGTTTTGAAAGCTTTAGATTGCAGTGGTAAAATCAGATTCTGATTATTGCAGTGTAGTATCTCCAGCCAAATCTGATTAACGCAGTGTATCTCCAGCCAAATCAGATTCAATTAAAATTAAATAAATTCTAAGATCTAGATTAATAAATACTATTCCTTCCATCCCAAATTATAATACATTTTGGATTTCCTAAATTCATAGTTTTTGGTATACACTTAGATATATTCCTCCGTCCCAAAAAGAGTGATGTTTTTTACTTTCAGACATCGTGTTTGACCGTTCATCTTATTCAAAAAATTTATATAAATTATAAAATAAATAAATCATTATTAAAGTATCTTTAATGATAAAACAAGTCATAACAAAATATATGATATTTATATAAAATATTTGAATAAGACGGATGGTCAAACAAGCTTTTCTAGATATATTTCTTTTACTATACATCTAGACATAAAGTATATCTAAGTACGTAAAAAGTCATATATCTAGAAATGCCAAAATATAAGTGATGCGGCGTGCATGGACTCCGGCTGGATTGGACCAGCATGACATGGTGTCAGGTGAGCTGGTTTAGTTACTTTGAGCTTATTAATGATGACTTTATTGTGGTTGATGGTTGCTCTTGTAATGGTCATGGTTATAGCTGCAGCTACTAGTAACTCTTATGGTTAGGCTACGGTTAGTGGTAACTGATGAACGTCTTCATGACGTCTAGGTTCATCCTCCACTCTTTGACTTCCATCTCTCATGCCTATAAGATAGGTGCTCGCATTTAGTCTCGCGCGTGAACATGCACATATAGCAACGTCGTTCTTCTATTGTTGTTGCTTTCTAGTTTCCCCGTTCCAGCTCTTGCGTGCGGCGTTGGGACAGCAGGCATGTGAACCAATGCCCGTCTGCGACACCTGTTTGGTTGTATGGGTGAATCAGGTTTTTAGGAGCGCATCACTGCATGACTACTCACACCTTCCCAACAATCGTCACCACATGTCTTCTCGGTGACTGGCGGTAGATGTCTTCTTCCGACGGCGATCACTTGAATGACTAAATTCTACTTCCTGCTGGACGTTCGCGGGACTACACTGCAAACACCGTCTTCCATCGACTGAGGTCCACGATATCGAGCCGCTCACTATGTCAACTAGTGACAAACGGCGCATCTAGCAATAGTCCTGCCCTTGTGTATATGTGCGTCTTTGCTCAGTATGGTACATATGTTCAGTATGATAATCATCATGTTTCCTGCTGCTGCGAGTAGGCTACACAAACACATATACGATGTCACAAATCTTTTGTTAATTTTCTGAATTGAATCATGCCTAAATTTACATAAATATCTTAACATATCTCATCCAAAGATTCACTGACCGACCAATAATGCCTGGCAGCACCTTGCCATGCTACTAACAGAGAGTGTCAGATATATAGAGATATCAGCGTGTTTGTTTTCGTTCAGGACTCCACGACTAATATCTTTGGCGATTTCAGATTTCGATCAAAGACCGACTCGGCAAGCCAATGCCTGGGTAGGCTGCAGGCACCTTCTCTCGTCGTTCTCGTTCCCAGGTGGACATTCCCTGAAATTAAACACATGTGCCGCCAGTATGCTACAACCATCACCCTCGAGTTCAGGACCTTTTTGGCCATCACGGACGATGCATGAACCCAGATCGGTCCAACACATACACACACTTTTGGTCGTGATGAAGACCCGGGCATGTTCAATGAACCGAAACTCGGCAACCCCGTCGATCGTGTGCTGAACTTGAGCAGACCACGAAGCCGGTAGAGAACGGAGAGCTTTTCCATGCCTACATGCTGCTTCCAGATTAATTCCTGGTGGGTCGATGACACGCCAGCCCCCGAAAGATGGGATGAATCTGGCCGCGATCCTTTTCTGAATCAAATCAGGGAGCCAAAGCCTACTAAAGCCGAATTGAAAGGGTGGCAGTGGGAAGGCAACCGTCGCTTCCTAAAATTCATGTCACATCGAATGTTTAGATACTTAATAAGAAGTATTAAATATAGATTAATTATAAAACCAATTACATAGATTGAGGCTAATTTACGAGACGATTTTTTAAGCCTAATTAATTTGTCATTAGCATATGTTTACTGTAGCGCCACGTTGTCAAATCATAAACTAATTAGCCTTAAAAGATTCGTCTTGCAAATTAGTCGCAAGTTGTGCAATTAGTTTCATAATTAATCTATATTTAATATTTTATGCATGTGTCAAACATTCGATGTGATAGGAATTTTAGGAGCTGTCGTGGTACTGGCCATGATGAGCCCATGACAAGCGTCTGACTAGGCCTAGTACGCGCGCCGTGGATGAACAAAGGCAAAGCCGTGCGGTACTTCTCCTTCCAAACATGTCGACGGCGCAGCAGTGGGCTCGTCGTGCTCACGTACTCCAACACTCCAGCCACAAGCAGCTGAAAAGTTTGCATTTTGCAGTGCTAGCTTAGGCGAGTTGGGGATGAAGAACCGATCTAAGCCTTAGCAACACGCGGTCGCTTGACTCGTATACTCCGTACTAGTTGAGCACACGTCGAGCCTGATCCTAGTTCTGACTTGTGAGCCTCGCTACATGCCAGGCGGAGAAGAAAGAAAAAAGGAGGGCCGAAATCAGAGTCAAACAAATAGCGGCTCGTATTATTTGATTTGAATCCAACATGTTTCCAGCCGCACACTTGTTCGGAGGTGGTGACGGATTGCGTTCCGACGCACGCATGCATTCCCCTGACGGCTGACGCGGGGCACAGGAACAGGGGAGGCGTGCGTGCGCGGTGACGACAGCCCCTGGGTCCTCGGAGCTCGGCAGGTAGTGCACGATGGATCGGGTGCGCGTCGCCTTCGGGGGGTCGGAGCGCAGAATACTCCACGATACGATACGGCCTCCCGTGCAGACAGCAACTTGTGCCTGCTCGCGCGACGGCCAAATCGCCACCAACCCTCCTCACCTCGGGGCGCGGGCGCGTGGCCCAACCGCCGGCGGCCGGGCCCGGAGTTGCAGTGCTCGGTGCTCCACAGGTCCCGTGATAAGATATCGCGTAGCATCATCTATCAGTCCAGTCATCACGGCGCCATCCACAAGGCTTATCTTTCCGTTCCGTCCCCTTTTTCTCTGTGTTGGCGCGCGTGGCCAGAGCGCGTTATTAGCTAGCTTATCACACGTAGGGACACCATGCAGCTTCAAAGGTGCGTCCACCGACGGTCGGATCAGCATATAATATCCCTCGCCTACATCGCACTGACTGATGATGGGATATATAGGCTGTGTTTAGTCTCAAAAACTTTCTCAAAAAGTGCTACAATAGCCATCACATCGAATCTTGCTATACGTGCATGGAGCATTAAATATAGACGAAAAAAACTAATTGCACAGTTTGGTTGGAAATCGCGAGACGAACATTTTGAGTCTAATTAGTCCATGATTGAACAATAATTGCCAAATAAAAACGAAAGTGCTACAGTAGCCAAATTCCTAAATTTCACGAACTAAACGCAGCCATAAAGATAAACAGGTGAGCGTAGAGAGCTCAGACGTGGTCATATTCATTATTCATCTCTAGCGACTAGCGTACTACGCCAAGCAGCAGATAATATTTATATCTTCAACTCGATCGAATTCATCCATGCTTTCCTCGCCGCTCGTCAACTCAACTCCATTAGCGAGAGATACAGATACCGCGCGCGATGGTGTAGATGACACACCCAAGCTCTTTTTGAGGCGACTACTGATGCTGATGGATTCGTGCATGAATCATGCATGTCGATTTGCGCTGCTATGCTATGCGCGTAGGCCCCCACCGCGCGCGGCGGTCCATGCAACACCATAATCATAAATTTGGGGAGCACCACTGCCCGTGTGTGCCCGGCCAAAAAGTAGTAAATTTGGTCATGCATTATTGTATCGGATAACCATCCAATCCAAGCCTCCAACTCCAAGGGATGGAGGTGCATGCCTACGTGGCTGCGTAGCACCGAGTCAATGAGTGATAGCTTAAAGCTTATCACCCAACAACCCTGGATGGTGACCAATTTGTTTAGGATAACCGTGGCCGGCCTGATCCCCTTTTTTTTCTCATGAAGGAAAAACAATCGCAACTTTGCACTCGCTCTCGTTAATTCATCACGTGCATGGACAAAATGACATAATTATATTTTATGACTTAGCCAGCTGGAATAACTAGAAAATCGGCGGACCAAAACGAACAAACGGCTTCCCCACACACGATCTAATATGCAAGTTTTTCTTCTATCCTCTGACCGACTCCTCTCTATCAGTGCACATACATTTCTGTATCTGCTATACATGTTTTCAAAAGATCTATACCATGTGAAGGTACGACGGTGTCAGTTTTCCTTTGTTCTTCACAATAACTATAGAATCTTAGAGCACGTTTTGTATGTACTATAACTTTTGAAACAATAATCGTAGTATATACCATCTGAAGAAGTTACATCGTGTATGTCACATTCTGTAGTCAAGGCGACAAATGTGATGCGCCTAACAGGTTAATACTAATTGTGACTGCGGTTAACTTGTGATGTGCACAAAATATTATTTTATATCATAGACGACATGCCGCGGAATGCAAACCAGCTAACCACTTTAGCAT